CAGTCATTAGGTTGCTACAAATAGTTTAAGGTTTGGATACACCCACTCATTAATCGCCTTGCCTTGTTCACTAAAACCAAACATCCTGTTGTGCAGTCAGCTGTCCAGACTTTACACTTGATCCTGACTAAACAGCCTTCTACCAAAAGCCTAAAAAGTTGTCATCCTTGAAAAGGTTAAAAAAAAAAAAAAGAGCTAATCTAAGAAAGGAACAGCAAGAGCCCATATTTTGTGGCTGAACACGATGGTTCACTGTTTGGACGGCTGCCCGCCGGCCCACCAGGACTTGCGTGCGTAGTGAAGCAGAGTTCTTGCCAGCCAGTCCTACATCTGTCTCCTTTATCAAACACTTACCTCATGCACTCACACCATACAGTCCCCGGTTCTTCTGAACATTTGGACCAGCAGACAACAGACCGCCTCCAAAGTCGTTATTTACTTTTCTCCCACACCTTCCCAGGAGGACAGAAAGCACTCAGATGCTGGTCTGCTTATGTTTATGTTCTCAACCTGCCGAAGTGGGGGAGAATTAAGTGGCTCTGGCTCTGTTAATTGGGCGTTAATCAGGTGTTGCTCTAATTAAAAGGCAGTTCCGCCCTGTTGGGCCCTGGTAATGAGTTTGTTATTAAATCCACAGAGGATTTTTGTCTCTTTTTCAATTTACCAACAGGGTAGTGCTTAATTGCTGTGTAAATGAGGGGAATGTCCTTGAAGGTCGTGTTGCATCAGCATGCGATCCATGAACAGAAAGAGCTGCCCCGTTCAAACTTCAGATTCGTTCAGCTGACTGTGACCTCTTGTGTCCAGCTGGGCCTCTCAGCAGTTATATCAGTCCAGCCATTTTTTCTTTTTTTTTTCTTTTTGAGAAAAACTTCTTCAAAACTAATTTGCTAAACTGAGATGGCAGGTAACCCACTTCCCTTTGTAAATAAAGGTACTTTAAAAATTGATTTCTTTTTCATCTGATGTTGCTTTTATTTCCTTCAGTAGACGCTGTCTGGGCCCCTTGAAAGCACCACCGGTCTTTTATAGCTGCCAGTGTCTCATAAACAAACCCTCCCCTTGTCACCTTCCACCACCACAAATGCTGCTCTTTCACCTCCCTGAAAGAAGCCGACCAAAGGTTGAGAATGCCTTCAGAGGAAGTCAGGCCAAATCAATATGGAGATAGAAAGAAAGAGATAGCGAGACAGTTAGGCACAAAGGAAGAAATGACAGATGAATGGTGGAAGATGTTACACACAGATAGACAGGTGGCCTGATAGACACAGAGAGATTGCGGGTGCTGATTGTTGAAGGGCATTCGCTACAGAGACATCAATCAGAAGATGGCACCAAGATTGAGTGTTTCCTGCCTGTGGCTGGCAGCATGTGTAGAACACAACCTGGGCTAAACCACCGCTCTTCATATCAATTAGAGACCAATTATACAACCATGTCCTACTAATTATGCCGCACTGCCACTACGCCATCCTCCAGCATAAAGAGTGTGTTTCTCCGTTGCTTCCGTGTGTCTGTGGGTGTGTTTATTGAGATAAATAAATAAAGTTGCGGGTGCCAAGGCGAAGCATTCTTAATCTGATTTTCGGAGCTGTAAGTTTGTATTTTGGAGGGGATGAGAAATAGAGGAAGAGGAGCCAAAAAAGGCTGTTTTCTCTTCGGCCTTTTGGTGGCGCTGGTGTAACATCCATCGCTCGGCCTCTTGCAGTGAAATATGGTGAAACAGGGGGAGACACTGCTTTCATTTGATGAGTAATGATATCAGAAAAAGTCTGTGCATGTATGCATATGTGTGTGTGTGTGTGTTTGTGTACGTGTTTGATTTTTATTTGTGAGGTAGACAAAGTGTGATTAATATTCTCGAGCTTATTTCAGAGGATTTTGAGTCAGAATGTGCCGGACTACTTAATAAGTCAAGTTTTATTTGGCTCGATCTGGGAGGATGATGAATTATGAAATAAAGCGAGAACTCCGTGCTTTTTGCAGTTTTATTTCTCTGTGGTTTACATAATTCACTCAGAACATTTGTAACTTTCCTGACAGGTTAATGCTGTTGGGTTCAAAGTGAAGACACTGAGGAAATACGCAGAAAGACAAGACAGCAGGAGAGAAACAGACATTGAGATCAGAGGAGACGAGAACAAAGGGGGAGAGAGGATTTGAGATGTCACAAAATAGTTTCACACTGTCCCTATATTCCGCACCGCTTCATGTAGTGTCAGATTGTGATGAACTTTGTACCTTTCTCTTTTTTTTTTCTTTCCCCTCCACATCCCTCACAGCCACCTTTCTGCTGCCCCGAATGTTCTGATGCAGTCAAAAATCAGAGTTTGACCACTGCAGTATTGTGCCCTCTGCTGCATTGTCATCAGTATAAGTGGCTCCTCTTTGAAAATGGAAAAGTCAGGAAATTTGATGTCTGCAGTCTTACAATATCTTTAAAAAAAGAAGAAGAAGAAATAGCAGACAGGGAGAGGGAGGGAGGGAGGGAGACAGGGTTCATGAGGATGTGGAGAGAGTACACCTTGTGTCCTTCAGTCATTTTTTTTCTTGCAGGGACTCAGTTCATCCTGCCTGTAGAATCTGCAATGAGCTGTTGCTCTTTGTGACTGACATCCCACCCGGACCACCCTGTTGATTACATTTGTTTAGCAGAACTGAGAAGACAAACAGACAAAGCTCAGATCAGGGGGGGGAAAAAAAAGAGTTTCTTGATTATTCTGCACTTATGTTCATTCGCTGGATTTCTCAGCGCCGGTGGTTTTTGCATCGTACAACACTCTGCACACTCTATTTTGAGTTCAGGTTTGTGAATCGTATCTGCGCGCCGCTACCCTTGTTCACAAGTGGTGTCGTCTTGGACATCTCAGTCCACACAATGAAGCTGTAGTCGCATTCTCATCACTCTATTCATCCCTGGCCAACTGTAGACTCTCCCTTCTCTTATCTCTGTGTGACCAAGGAAATTAAATTATAAAAATAATCACTTGGCGCCAGTTTCTTTAACAGTGTGTTTCTGCTTAGCATATAGAGTGTGCTTGCTTTGGGGTTGTGTGAAGTTACTTATTGGCCTATTTACGATAATGGGGCTCTGCTCTACTTGTTCTACACACACCTCTTTCGCTTTGACAGTGAGTGAATGGCATGACGAGGTGAAGCGAGGGGAAGAAATGCTGGGAATTTGGTCGCGGCTGTGTTGGGAGAAGAATTTTACAAACGCTCAGTGTGACTTAGTGTTTGTACCTACTGTACGATGTCACCTTTATTTAAATTCTAAGAGCAAATTTTATGCACAATTTGGCGTCCTCACATGGGGGAAATAACGTTCTCATAGCGTGCACATTAACTGTAAACAGGGTAATGATGTAGCACTAAGGATTCCAGTCGGCCTCTTAGTTGCTCTCTCGAAACGATCAAAGTATTGGTTTCCGATGACATTTTGTGCAGACGGTCATAGATCACGGGATTAGTGATGCTTTGACTTTTTCTCGAGTGATGTCGGAAGTTTACCAAGAAACACTCGATCGATTGGTGTTATAATTTAAATAACAGCTTCCGTCTGTCTAACTAGTGGATGGAAGGTCATGAATTGAAGCATCTTTGGTCATTTTCTGGCTTTTTATCTACTGCTATGAGCCTGTCAAATTTGTAGTCCTCCAATTCTTTGATTAATATTTGTAAAGCATGCTATGACAGTTCTATCTGTAGCATTAAATTTCTGGTACCTTGAAGCTAAAAAAAAACATGCATACCAATGTTGTCATTTACCTCGAAATATTGTTGTGCACCAAATACAGCCTCCCCGAGCTGCTGCGGAGTTTTAGTCTTGCTGCTAAATATACAACAACTTATGTGTCATTGTCCTTCACGGTACACTCTGCCGATCAGTAATGAGGATGATTCATAAAGCGTCTAAACTGTCAATTTATGTCACCGCAGGTAAGTATGACTTTCTTGTTAATTCTCTGGGAAATAGCAAACGAGCGAACGAGGGAGTAACTTCCCAGACAGCATCATTCACTCACTTACTGCTGCCAACTGCCACTGTGTAGACAGCCTTCCTCTTCAGCTCAAAATGTATTCCACACACGTTAGACCATCTGACTAAATAAACAGTCCCCATCGCTCTCGCTCTCCCTGTCTCTCCTGCAGGTCTCTCACAAAAAAAAAAAAAAAAAGGGATGAAAAAACCTGTGTATATTAGAATGATGTGCCTCCCGCAGGAGCCCAAAGGGAAAGTTGGTAAAGGGAAAGTGAGGGGAGAATGAATAGAAGAATGGCATTTTTATCATCATTATTATGAGAAGGCTATCACAGGTCTCCCT